GACCTTACGAAAACATGCATCGTTTTGAATTGTCCTACTTCAGTTAGCAAATTACAAATTTTCATTTGTTCTCTTTACCAAAATTCATCGTCAGATTCTGCGCATCTACAATGAAAGATTAATTCTTTGGTCTTCTTGCTCACAGGCGAAGAGTTTATAGACATCGGCGTATGTGTGCAGTGAACGAATTTCTTTTCGGAAATGGAGGAAGTACGTTTGAGATTTTCAACGAAACCAACTTATATAAAGTTCTGTGATCTCTAGGTAGTTATTCCGCCGGGGAAACAATTACGGTACCGATGTAATGTTGAAGGCTGTCTGAGAAACAAGAGTTTCTCCATGTTTTCCATATTGGATCATATAGCATCGCATTTCTCCCAGCAGAAAAGGTAAGCAAGATCTTGTTCGCAAAATTCTTTGGTGACGCCACATTTACAGGTCCGATCTAGTCTTCAACTACTATTGCAAACTGTGCGGAAGACACTTCTTCTTGAAGGGAATGTGCCTGGGATGTAAGTGCAACGCTAGAGACGGAGGAGAGGTTGCTGCTAATCTTTAGATACAACCTGGTGTATAGTTACTGTTTACTTTCTAGCAGTTCATCTCGCTGAAACATGGAATCACCCTTGAAGATGTTAGACGAGAAGCGAACTTTTTCTTGTTCGTGAATAAGTGGATAGTGCCAGTATTCGACGACATACCGGGTGCGCCACCTGCGGCTGCTACTGTCACTGTGGAGACAACGATGGACACGGACGAGGTTGAAGTAATAGAGGAGCATGGACCAGCATTTGAAGGTACCTTGAAATTTTAAGATATCATCTACTGCCAAGCCCAAATAAACATCGAATTAACTATGCTAATATGGAGTTCTCACAGCAAGCAGATAAGGTTTGCTCTGCATCATGCGGAAGCTCTGAAGTAGACGATTTTTGGACATTGGACTTTGCGCGATTCCGCATAAAGAGAGAAGAGTATGGAGGAAAAGGACACGTTGGCAGCGCTGT